AAGCCATCTATCTATTGAATAATGTGAGCCACAACATATTAACAACGATAAAAACAAAAACTAGTTCCAAGTCGATTGAATGGAAGTTTATGCGAATGTGTGCTTTGTGCAGTTCAGTGCAATGCATATTTGTATGGAAAAACCACTGAATGTATTGCATGCATATCTTGCTTACTAGTTGTGAGTTGGATAGACACACACATACACACACTTATATATATATATATATATATATGTAAATACATACATAGACAATCATCTAGCACATGGTAGTTGCCATTGTTGTTAGATATGCCGTACGATGTGCGCGCGCGCCCGCGTCGCTGCTTCTAATGCTATTGGCATTGCGCGCTCTATTGCAAATGTGCAATACATGTTGTCGACCCAGCACATAGCTAATGATAATTATAATGATATACTATAGGCATATGGGTATGTATGTAATCTAACATGCAGCACCAATGTAATGTGTGTGCGATGATCATCATTATTACTAACGTTAACGCTAGCTAGTGCTTAGCTAGCTAGATAGCTAGCGAGCTTATGTTCGCTCTGTAACAGAGTCTGGTTGGCGGACGGCGCATTCACTATATATGTATGTATGTATGTATGCATGTATGTATGTATGTATGTATGTATGTATGTATGTACGTATTTAAGTATTAGTTGTTGTCGTTTGGTACATTTTGGCGTTTTGCTGTTTGATTGGGTTGACTGCCTGCCTGGCTGCCTCAGTTGTTGCTGTTTATATTTTTATTTATATATATATATATATATTTTTATTTTTTTTTCGTATTTTTGTTTTTTTTTTTCCTATTTGTTAGTTTTGCACACTCACGTAGTTCAATGTTAACGAACTTGCAGCCGCTCGTCGACTTTCACTTGTAATGAATTTGGCTGTGGTTCGTTAAATGAAGTTAGTTAAATAAGATATATACGTTTGTATACATTAGTACATGTATAAAGGCAACAATAACTACAACAACATTGACTGCAACCGCATTTATGCAATAGAAAGGCAGCGACCAAAAGAAAGAAGAAGAATATATATATATATACATTTATATATTTATATATACATGAAAGTATCATATGGCATGGCATGAGATGAACGGAGAACACCCATCAAACGATATACAATAACTGTATAGTCAAAATTTTTAAATCGAATCGCAATCGAATTTAAGATAATCAATCAATAATTGAAAAATCGATTAGTCAGTCTTTAGTTTCATACTTATTCACTAACTTACTTATACCTATCTGGAGAGATCGGGATACAATAACGCTCCTTATAAAAAATATCTGGAGTTTTTAGATGAATTTGTTTAGTGTGCACTTATTGAACCTTGGATTATTGTCGTCGGTTTTACTATAATTTTAGTTTTATTTCCTCTCTCTCTCTCTCTCTCTCTCTCTGGCACCTGATTCCTTTCTAAGCCTATTGAAGACCTACCTTTTCGAAAATTTTACATCTCTGCATTAATTCATATTCGACAGATAGCTAGACAGAGGTACTCGTCTAAAATGTTTTAACTGAGTTATACTGAGCTGAGAAGAGACGAAGAAGAAGAAGAAGAAGAGTTAAATATTAACGGCGTTGCGAGCAATTTTAACCGATCAGGTTTAGTGTGTTTATTTTGTATGTTTTTGTTTTTGTTGTTTTTTTTTTATTTATTTTTTTTTTTAGTTGATTTCGAATCGAATATCGGTATGCGTTGCAAACGGGACGGAAAAGTTATTACATTCTCCTCTTCACCAGTAATGGTTACAAAAATGCGCACATATTAGAGAATAACCAAATGAAAATGAAAGAAAGAAAAATAATAACACAAACATAATGCAATATGATGATCAAATCGCAACAACAATAACAACTATTACAACGGGGGCTGGAGCAATAGCAACAGCGAAAATAACTTTGAAAAGTGGCAAACTTGCAATTGCTCTTGCTATTGTTGTTGTTGTTGTTGTTGTTGTTGCTGTTATTGTTGTTGCTCTTGCTGTTGTTGCATTTTTTCATTTTATTTATTTATTTATTTTTCTTTTTTTTTTTTCATTATTATTGCCGTTGCTTGTTGTTATTGTTGTTACTTGTTGTTGTTGTTGTTGTTGTTATTTTCATAGTTCAATAACATGTTATGTAAAGTGTTTTCCTTGGTTTATCTGGTTTGAAACGAAACGCGCATTGCAGAGTTTTTCTGTGTACATATTTTTTTTTTTTTTTTTTTTTCATTTATTTGTTTTCTCGGTTTCGGTTTTGAATTTAAGTTCGTGTAACAGTCACTGACTGGCGTGCATGAAAAACCATTTGTGTGTGCCTGTATATGTCTAACTTGCATCTATTGCCTGCTAAAGAGATAGAAACGCGGAAAGGGGGTATTGGTGGTGAGGGGAAATAGGAGCAGGACGGGGGAGGTAGGGCGATGGGGCGATTTGTGTATATGTAGATATACATATATGTTTCGCACTCATCACACTGCACTGTGTGCATTAAGTATTTTTCGTATTTTTTATTTTTTTTATTTTTGTTTTGTTTTTGTTTTTTTAGGTTGTCTTGCATTACGTTGCAATTTTTCACTTTTGTTTTAAAAATGCTCTGCTATCTAATGCTATTTTCTTTTCTTTTTTTTTTTTTCTTTTTTTTGTTTTTATGTATTTATTTAGGGAATTTTTTTGTTTTCTTTTATTTACTTTTCGTTATTTTTCATTTTAATGCCCTTTCGCTGCTGCTGCTGCTGCTGCTGCTGTTTCTGTTTCTGCTCTGGCGTTGGCTTTGGCTGTTAATTTATTAGTTAGTATTTGAAATATGATTACAATAATATTATTATACAGTAGAGAGGCCTTCCATCTGTACCGTCTTGTCTTTTTTTTTTTTTTTTTTTTTCTCCTTAACTCGCTCCATACGCCTTTCTCTCCCTTCGTCAGTCCCCTAGATTTAGTTTTTCATTTCACTTTATCGTTAGAGAGTTTCTTAGAGACAATAGATTATGTGTAAGTTTGTAATTGTTTGTAAATATATGTATATGTATATATATACATTAATAACACACACATATGTATATAGAATGCGTGTGTGTGTGTGTTTGTGTGTGTGTGTGTGTGTGTGTGTGTGTTAGTTTGGTCTGTTTATAATACATTCAGGGCAGATGTTATTTTGATTTTCATGTTATTGAACTTTATTGTGCCTGTTGCTGTTGGTGCTGTTGTTGCAGTTGCTTTTGGTGCTACTAATGGTGATGATAATGATAATGATGATTACCGGAAGAAAGGTATCACTAAATTAAATTTTTTTTTTTTCCTTCTTTTTTTCCTCGATAATGCTCTTTCGTCTTTTCATCTGTTTTTTTTTTTTTTTTTTTTTTTTTCTTCTTTCTTTCTTTATTAACTTTGGCGTATGCTTTACTGAGCGAGCATTCATGTGCTTGTGATTGATTGTTTTAATCAAAGTTAGCGGTTCTGTGCTGCAATTGCGTTTATTCATTATGTAATAGTTCGAAGAATATATTTTTGAGAAGGTTAATTAATCTTCGCAGAGTGCAGTTTCAATTGCGTACCAGAGTAGCGGAGCGCTTTAATACGAGTTGCAAAAAAAAAATAAAAAATAAAAAATTAAAATAAAAATAAAAAGAAAGCATCACAAGCCATAATCTGTGTGCTTATAAAAAAACCACTACCCAATTGTCGCATTTAAATGACAGCTCTTGTCTCTTTGCCCCTCCATCTCTCTCTCTCTCTCTCTCTCTCTCTCTCTCCCACCCACTCTTTACATGACTTTACTGTTGTTTCGCAATTCCTAGAATTTGACTCAGAAATTTCTTCAGCATTCAACGATTCGTTCAGTAGCAAATTATCATAAGAGCATTGATTCCATTATAAATCGTGAGCAGCTGAATGAAACGTATCCGGCCAAATTGTCTATATCTATATTATAGTAAAGTTGTGTCGATGTAGACCTCGTTCGTGCTGATTACTTAGATCATATCTAGACAATGCTTTGTAGATGCACTGCTTCTTTTGTCTTCTATTCTATTTCTTACTAGAGAGAGTGTATTGACCGTAAAATGGGAAAATCTCTCCAAAAATTGTATCGATTCCTCGACATATGTTACCATAGATGCTTTATGTACGTGCTTTCTTGTTTGGATTTAAAGTGTGCTGCTCGCAATTCAAATGAAGTCAAACGAACTGACTTGAATGAACTGAATTGAAATTGACTATGACCACTAGTGCCAAGGAGCTTTCAAGTAAAAATTCTTCAATATAATGCCGAAAACTTATAAATATTTCCTGATACGTTAGCAATTTCTTTAGTAGGGCTTCCAATAGATTGGAAGATATAGGCTTTTGGCGGTCTATTTATTACAGATTGTATCCTTTTAAAACTCGTTTATTGGACGGATTACAATGATTTATTATTTGGAAATAAAATTTATTTCCAAAAAAATTATTGTTTCCCCTCCTCCCCTTCCCATAGTAAGAAAGTATTTCTACTAATCGAATATTCTTTCACATTAACTTTAACTCGGGTCTCCTTCACGAGATTATTATTGGTTTTTAACAAGGCGAAACCAAACGAGAAATCTTCGAAGTTAGGTGTGTGTCTTATGCAAGGATTCACAAATTTGTTCTATATTTTATAAAAATTCTCAAAGTTTTCCTTAACGTGCTATTTAGAACCATGTGGTTGTGTTTTATCTTACAACAACTGCAATAACAAGTGAAAATACGTTAATATATTTATCATTCAATATAGTTATCGGGCGCAAGCAAATGCTCTGGCCTATGCAAGAAAGGCGGCCTAAGATTTTGAGCGAAAATGAAGAACGTTTTGGCTGAAAAGAGGATCAATTTATTTAGATTTTTTTCCTAATAAAAAGTTTGACTTTTCATCTAAAACGATGGGAATGGAACGATGGTCATATGTAATACATTTTTTTAAAAGCAAAGATAATTTTTGACTAATTACGTTTTCTTTCTTCTTTTCAATCTCATTTCAGACTAATTTATTTACAACACCATCTGGTTGCCTTAAAATAATTATTAAAAAAACAAAAAAAAAACAAAAAAAAACAAAAAAAAACAAAAAAAACAAAGCAAATTTTAAATGTTATATATTAGTTAAAGTTGAAATTTTTTATGTAAATAATTTTTAAACCAAAACACAATTAAAATCAAAAATAAAACGAAAAAAATAATTTTTTGGAGAGCGAGAAATTCAACCATTTCTCCATCGAATTGGCTATAAACGTTATAAGGAGAATAATACACACAAAAAAAACAAATATTTAACTGAAATTTATATTAAAAAAAAAAAAAAAAAAAAAAAAATAGGACAAAAGTGTTTGAAATTAATTTAACCGTCTGTCGAAAATAGTGCCTGAAAAATAAATTTTGTAAAATTATTTTAAAAGCAAGCGTTAAACGTTATATTTTGACCAAATCTACAATAATTAGAAGAACAACCAACAACACTACAAAACGTTACCACACAAATATCTATCTATCTTAATTATAAAATAATAACAACAATACACACAAAAACATTGGTTTACAGTCAACGCTGGAAATCGAGCTGAAAAGCCGTTTAATCGAAACGGAAGCAGAAACTCTTTAAGAGTAGTAGTAGTAGTAGTAGTAATAGTAGTTGTAGTAGTAGTAGTGCTCATCGAGAGTAGGTTCGCTTTTTTTTTTTGTTTTTTTGTTTTTTTTGCTTTTTTTTTTTTGTTTTTCGTTTTTCTACTATCACCGGTGACACTAACACGCTGGCACTGGTGAACGAAGTTCTTGGTGGCTTTGCCTTGTCAGCGATGCCATTTATTGATGACGCTCTACTCTGGTGTCCGGATAATGATGGTCGTATTGTAGGTGGCTTGGATATTGCAACGTGTATTCAGGTATAAATTTATACGAATATATATATATGGACAAATGCACACACGCACACACCAATCAATTCAATCCAATCGAATAGATTCATACATACTTAATATTCATTTTAATATCATTTATAATATAAATTTTTTAGGATGGAATTTCTGAAAGTAATGAAAACGCCAGCGAAAATACTCAACTTGCCGAACAATCAACAGAATTGAATGCCCTGGAGCCTTTATGCAACGAATCACCCGATGAATTATTTCGTCAGCTTTCTGAAAGCAATTTCGAAATTGAAAGTCTACTTTCCGATTTAGCTACCGTTGAAGTGAAAGTATGTACAAACGCATGTACACTTTGTATATTTTTGTTTTTTTCGTTTTTTTCGTTTTTTCTTATTTCTATAAACGTCTATATAATTTTAATCTATTGGTTACAGGAAGAGAACAATAATATTAGCGATATTGCCGCAACCGATGTTGTACGTGGTCCAACTGGAAATTTTGTTACGCTTCTTAACAATGCGATCAGCAGCAGTTGTGGTGGGGTAATTAATTCCGCATCGAATACGGTGGCTGCAGCGGCAGCCGCCACCGCAATAAATGTAGTCAATAATGATACAAATATACCGCTGCCGGGTGAAAATTCTGCCGTAGGTTCGGTTGGTCCTACTGCTTTAACATTGGAAACGGCAGCAGCTGTAGCATCCTCAACTCAAGAACAGCAGGCTAGCAGTACAACAACACTAACAGCACCATTTTTAAATAATAATAATAATAATAATAATAATAATAATAGCAACAGTAACAATAACAATAATAATATTAATAATAATAATAATAATAATAATAATAACAATAATAATAGCGAGAACACCGCGCCGTACGACGAAGCGTCAGCACGTTACCTAATTGCTGCTAATCCATTATTAGCAGAAAAGTTAATGTCAAAAACTATAATACTCAGCCACAAAAATGATAAAAACGCAAATTTTAAGGGTAAGTGATTTTTATTTTTACTCAATCTCTTTCTCACATATTCAACAGAGGATTTGTTTTTCTCGGTCAAAAAATAAAAATAATCACCTATGATACGGCTACGGCGAATTCTATTGCGGCAATTCTTATATCACTATATTCCGTTTCCGAATTTTGTGAAATTCATGGGGTTGCTTCAATCGCCTTCGATTTCAGTGAGCTCGAAGTTTACTCCACGGCCTGTATTAAATACTTAGTCAAACTTGAACCCTTACTACTACAGAATCGTAATCTGAATTGATCTAAGCATGTCTGTCCGTCTGATATCTGTCCATGTAAACATGTTACATTCATATTACAAGTCGCAATCCTTGAGGTATTTTAATGAAATTTGATCCTGCGACGTATTTTGATTTGTGGACGAACGCTATTCAGAATGGTTTGGATCGTTCTAATTTTTTGACCACTCCCCATATTACGCCCTATGCTGAAAAGTTGTTATATGGAAAAAAATTGTAATTTTCAAAATTTCTCGGCAAAAGTGGCTAAACAGTAGTAGTATTTTGACATTCTAAATTGATATGAAAACTTTGGACCGGCTGGGGCAATTTTTGAACCGCCTACCCTATAACGAAAACTGTCTCAAATTGGAATGTTCTTATGGATATGTACACATTTTTCGCATACCAAATTTCAAAAAATTTTTAAAAATAGTTCCCATAAGCAGAATTTGAATTTGCTTAGTTTGTTTGAAAGGTATTTTCATATATATTCATGAGATGTCCACAAAAATATTTTACGTTATTTAATTTGGACAGAGTAGGCTTTCAAATCCAACTATATCTTAATTGTTGTATTTACGCAATAATAAAATATATAAATTTGGCCGACAGCTTTGCAAATTAACACAGACTATTACGTTTTTTCTGTGAATAGCATAGAGTATTACGTTTTTTCTGTAAATAGCAGAGAATTTAACGTTGACTTTGCTTGTCTACCGTTAGGTGTAATATTAATGTAATAATTGAGATTGCTTGTACGTCCTGTTAAAATTTCTCTTTAGTTTTATCTTCTTTTTGATGACTAAATATGTTTATATGTTTATATATGTTTTATCAAGTCTAATCAAAGAATAATCTTTCCGTTTTTCTTTGTTTCCTATACTGTATAATGGATTTAAAGTTAAAAAAGGAAAGAAAAGCCACAATATCCTTTATTTTTTTATAAAAGGTTTATTTATTTACTTATATGCTTTATTCACTACCACTGTTGCTTTTGCTGTTAAATTGCCAAATTGTTTGTTTGTAAAGAATTCCAACAGATGTTTCTTATTGATTAGCAGAGTATTTGGAAGAAATTGAGGATTTTTGCCGACTTTTGCAAATTAGCATAGAGTATTACGTTTTTTCTGTAAATAGCATAGAGTATTACGTTTTTTCTGTAAATAGCAGAAACTTTAGCTACTGTTTTGTTTAATTTGATAATAAAATTAAAAACGGCATGTAGTGAGATATAGAAATATAAGTGTATGTACGCATATAACCATATAACCAAACAGTAGGCAGTTCAAGAGTAACTGACTATATAAACAATTGAATTGCTCTGTTAATTGCATAAAAAGTTATTTATATTTTGTTCGTCCATATCATCTTCATTAACCCTACTTACAGTGAACAGTTTGAATATAAATGCCAATCCGGCTCCGACTATTGTCTTTGCTAACTTACTTAAAGGTTATTTTCAATGCTAGTATTTCACGCAAAATCTTACTTTTAATAGAACTTATCATCCTGTCTTTGCTAATACTTGTAGAGTATTTAAAAGACGAACGATCGTTTCAAATTTTATAGTGTGGTTTTAGGCCTACTACTAAAAACATGAATTTTTCATTGCAAATATTAAAGCAAAGCTTTTTTTATTTATTAAATTAAAGCTTTTTCTCGAGTTTAAGCTTTTTATTAAAAAATGGAAAGCTTTTTCGTTCAAAAATTATTAAGTAAAAACAATGTTGAAAGCAAATGTTTACTTAATTGTTTTCTTCTTATTCTTAGTTGGTTTATTTGAAAGCTACGACAGATAAAACCAAAGTAAACGTTAAAGCTTCAATAAATAATTGAAACACAATCCATCCGGCAATAGTTGAAGTAATAAAGTATATGCATATAGATATAGATATAACTACAAAATAGAGATTCGTTGTAAATTTATGTTATTTTCAAATTTTTTCATTGCCTACGTGTTGTGCAAATTGCTTTTGATTTTTGTACATGACCTTTATATGAATAGATGAAACTGCCATCTATATTTCTGCTTGGGTATCGCAAATGTTACGACGCGTAAGCATAAATTCATCCAACCAATTTTTTAATGTTGCAAAAATGCCGGCGGCTTTGCATTTAACAGATTATTCAACTACTGCTTTGCCTATTTAATAGATTATTCCACTACTGCTTTGCCTATTTAACAGATTATTCCACTGCTGCTTTGCCTATTTAACAGATAATTCTGCTGCTGCTTTGCCTTTTAACAGTTTATTCCACTATTCCTTTTTTTAATTTGATAATAAAAAAACCTACTTACCACTTCTTGGCCTTCAATTATTTGCACTGAGGCTAGTTCTGCTCTCAGTTGTTTGATTTGGCGATATGTACTTCTTCTCATTTCGGCTAGTTCTTCCTTTAGCTGTTCGATTTGGCGGGCAAGTGATGCCTCGTTTGAAGTGGTGGGACCGTCGTACATGGGAACTGAAGTACATACTGGGTTTGATAGCCTTGTCCGTGTTGTGGTCTCTCCTAAACTTTCTTCTATGTTCTCGCCTAACTCCTCCTTGATGATTATTGTATGTCCAGTTCCCCGGTACAATTGATTTGTCAGTCTTTCCTCCGCCCTCGTCAATCCCTCGTCGTTCCCTAGCATACAATCTCTCAACTTTGAAATTTCGGCTATTTTTACTAATATTTAAATCCCTTAAGTAACGTCCAATTTCTTTAATTTTTCGTACAACTGTCTGTTCCGTTACTAACCGTCCCGTTGTCTCCGGCAGCTTATCTGCCAGTCTCTTGCATTCTACTATGGAAGTCCTACCTCGTTTAACTGACCAAAAATTTCGATTGCCATGTTGGCCATATATACTGAAATTAAATAAATTAAAACAATAAATAATAATAAATACATATAAAATATATATATGTAATAATTATAGAATCTGAAAATGTTTAAAAAACAAAATAAATCAACTAACTATTTATATAGTTTTTCATGCTAAATAAATTTTTTTTTTCCCAAATGATTTTCACTTTCGTCAAGCATATGCATAAAGATTTATACAATATCCAACAACTATTTCATTAAAATAGTCCTCAGCTAACTCACCTTGAGAGTGCGAGACCTTTTCCAAGAGATAGAGTGAACTTATTTATAAATTTTTTGCATTTATTTTTTCCGCCTTTTCTTTTATTTTGCAAAAGTTAATGTTTTTTTTGTTTTTCTGGTATGTTGAATGGAGATGGACTAAGCCAATAGATTTGTGGCCAAAAGTTAATGTTGATATTTTTTTTATATTACCTGCTATTCTTGTTTTATTTACTT